CCGCCGCCGCCGCCCGCAGGTCCCGGCCGGTAGCGGTCAACCGCCCCAAGGCCGTCTTCAGCCTGTGTCAAAACAGGGCACGCAGCTTCTCCCTTCACGACAGTTATTATCTCTACAGCTTATTTGGGAACAAATCATCATGACGCGACTGGTGATATGAATCGATCTACTGTGGTCCATTATTTACACTTTAAAAAATCAATTTTCTCTTGCTAATACACTTAACTCCTCGAGGGCAGGAACATCGCGGTGCCTGTCTTGGTCTGTTCTATTGCAGTGAGCACACACATCTTGGTCAGACAAGTTGGGGCACTCCCCTAATATATTTGTGTGTGTGTTTATTTCAAAATTATATATATTTATTCCTGTACCAATACATTATAGCCATTATAAAACAAAAATGAAAATACTAATTTTTGAAGAGGTGATGAATACATGTAAGTTCAAAATTTAAGATGTATTTCTCCCATCCCACTGCCCTCAAAGTAAGGATTGCTTCTTTTTCTTTCTTGAGTGGGAGTCTCACTCTGTCACCCAGGCTGTAGTGCAGTGGCGTGCTCAAGGGTATCATAGCCTCCTCCTGCTGGGCTCAGGTGATCCTTCTGTCTCAGCCTTCCAAGTAGCTGGAGCCACAGGCATGAGCCACCACGCCCTGCTAATATTTTTATTTATTTATTTATTTATTTATTTATTTATTTATTGTAGAGACATGGTCTCACCAAGTTGCCCAGGCTGGTCTCGAACCCCTGACTCAGGCAATCCTCTTGCCTCCACCTTCCAAAGTAAAAGAGTTTTGGCACCAGTGATGACTCCACACCTGGCCAGGACCAAGAGATTTATTAAAGGGGGCTGTTACAGAGAGGATCTGTAATGGTGAAAAAAGAAAGAGAGAGAGAGAGTTGCGGGGAGAGGGCTGTATTTATCAGCCTGACAGGGGCCGGAAGGGGCCGTGCTATGTTCCTATTGGAGGAGCTGCATGGGAGTAGGGTGGGGCCGATGCCGTGTTATAGTCCTATTGGACGCATAATAAAGCTGGCTACGGATTTGAGGCTTGCAGGTTTGAAATTCGCGCGCGGGAAGGTTTGAAATTCACGCGTGCGGGAATTGTGCTCACAGAAGCCGGGACCTAGGGCCTTTGTTGTCTGGTGTGACCCTCACCATGCCATTTTGGGAGCCGCCCCTCTGGTCGCTTCCGGCACCCTTCACAAAGTGCTGGGATTACAGGTGTGAGCCACTGTGCTTGGCTAAGGATTACTTCTTTATAGCTGAGTAATAACTATTTGATATCGTGGCCTAAACGCATGGTTTTTTTTCTTTTTTAAATTATACCATCAAATTCTGTGGTCTCACTGTGCTATGGACGGAACTATGTCCCCTCAAATTCATGTATTGAAGCCCTAGCCCTCGATGTGAATGTGACTATAACTGGAGATTAGGTTTTTTGAATACCTTGGCATATTGTAAAGGCTATAGGTATTAGGTATTATTATTAATATCATTACATCCAAATCAAGAAAACAAGGCACAAATTAACTAGGTAACTTGACCAAAGCTGGGGCTGGAATCCAGGTTAGCCATTGAACATCCATAATCTCAAGTACTCTTTGACTTTCAGTCAAGAAGCAAGATTTTTTTGACCCAAGCAACCTTCTGACTTCACCAGATTCTCAAGTCTTCCTCCACATTATGAAAAAATTCACCAACTCTGAGGAGTGCTGGTCTACGCTGGAAGCCTATAATCCTGCAGATTCTAATCAAAGCTCTGAAACACTCCTGGGGGTTACAATGAGAAAGTAAAAACACTCCCCTTGACGTTGGGGAACTGGTTTGACACACCTCACAAAACACCAACCTCAGACAAAGTCACTCCAAGACCATGATAGAGTGAGACAAAACAAGTCTACTGCCTAATTTTGTCTAAGCACAGACAAAAACAAAGTTACTGTCACTCAAGAAATACCAAACATCCTTCTCTCTAGGCTAATATGAGTGGCTGCAATGTCTTTACCAGTCATGGCTTCAGCCTTGCTCTAGACTCCCCTCCCTGTAGATAAGATTTATTGAGGCCAGGCTCAGTAGCTCAGCCTGTAATCCCAGCACTTTGGGAGGCTGAGGCAAGTGGACTGCCTGAGCCCACGGGTTCAACACCAGTCCGGGCAACTTGGCGAGACCTCGTCTCTACAATAAATCAAAAATTAGCTGGGCGTGGTAGCACACGCCTGTAGTTGCAGCTACTTGGAAGGCAGAGGTGGAAAGATCGCTGGAGCTGGGGTGGCCATGAGCATGCCAATGCACACCAGCCTGGGCGATGGAGTGAGACTCCAACTCAAACAAACAAACAAAAAAAGAGATTTATTGAATTACCAAACATAGAAATGTCCTAGCTTTCTGACAGCACCAAATCTGGAGCAAACACCTATTTCCTTGGATCCTCTCCCAAATCACCCAATCAAACAGTCCAGTCTCTTGTTCCATGGGTTGAAATAGTATCTTCTGGGCTCTTCATGATGCTGTCTATGGTCACAGTCTCTTGATGCATTTGGCAAGAGCAATATTGCTTCAAAAATTATTTTTGAAGCCAGGCGCCATGGTTCACACCAGTAAACCCAGCAATTTGAGAGGCAGAGGCAAGAGGACTGTCTGAGTCCAGGGGTTTGAGACCAGCCTGAGCAACTCGGCAAGACCTTGTCTCTACAATAAATCAAAAAATTAAGTGAGCATGGTGGTGTGTACCTGTAGTTCGCTACTTGAAAGGCTGAGGTGGAAGGATTGCCTGAGCCCAGCAGGTTGAGACTTTGGTAGCTGTGAGCATGCCACTGCACTTCAGCCTGGGCAACCGAGTGAGATTCTGACTCAAAAAAAAAAGTTAATTAAAATCAATTATTTGGTATAGACATCTCAGCAAAATATATTCCTTTTTGTTTAGTGTGATGTAGGCCTTAGTGTGATGTAGACACAGCTTCTAAAAATTTTGGGAGACCCAGACACGGTGGCTCAAGCCTGTAATCCCAGCACTTTGAGAGGCCGAGGCAAGAGGATTGCCTGAGCTCAGGGATTCAAGACCAACCTGAGCAACTTGGTGAGACCTCGACTCCACAATAAATCAAAAAATAAGCTAGGTGTGGTAGCGCGCACCTATAGTTCCACCTACTTGGAAAGCTAAGGTGGAAGAATTGCCATAGCCCAGCAGATTGATGTTGGGGTGGCCATGAGTGTGCCACAGCACTCCAGCCAGGGCAACTGAGTGACACTCCAATTCAAAAAAAAAGAAAAGAAAAGAAATAGGCGTTTGAGTCTATAATCCCAGCACTTTGGGAGGCTAAGGCTGGAGGATCATTTAAGGCCAGAAGTTCAAGACAAGCCTAGGCAACATCATCTTTACAATAAACTTTTAAAAGGAAAAAACAAACAAACAAAAGAAATGGACTTTTGAAAAATAATGCCCTCAGCCAGGCACGGTGGCTCAAGCCTGTAATCCCAGCACTTTGGGAGGCTGAGGCGAAAGGATTGCCTGAGCAGGTGGAGGCTGCGGTGGCCGTGAGCGTGCCACTGCACTCCAGTCTGGGCGACAGAGTGAGACTCTTGACTCAAAAAAAAAAAAAAGAAAAAAGAAAAAAATTTTAGGAGAACTCTAAGTACCTTTTGATCTCATCCTGTTGCTTCCAAGAAAGTTCCTTCACCAGCATGTGCTCTTCACGAAGTCGAAAGAAACTGTCCTCCAGTTCCTCCCGGTTCATTCGGCTCAAGGGTGGTTGTGTTTTTATACTCTTACCTAAAGTCCAGGAAAGGGACAATGGAGAATATTTTTACATGTAATTTTTTAAGCCTTCAGGTTTCTCATCACATTTTTATCCGGAGAGCATGAAGCTATCTTGAGTCAAGAATTTAAGAGTAAATTCAGGAAGTATATGCGATGAATACTAATGGACTTCTGGAGGCTCTTTTAAAATATTATTCCTAGCCAGGCACAGTGGCTCATGCCTGTGATCCTAGCACTTTAGGAGGCCAAGACGAGAGGATTGCCTTAGTCCAGGGGTTTGAGACCAGTCTGGGCAACTTGGCAAGATCTCATCTCTACAATAAGCCAAAAAAAAAAACCACAGCCAGATGTGGTGGCACACGCCTGTGTTTCCAGCTACTTGGAAAGCTGAGGCAGAAGGATCATCCGAGCCCAGCAGATTGAGGCTGCAGTGGCTGTGAGCGTGCCACTGCACACCAGCCTGGGCAGCAGAGTGAGACCCTGACTCATAAACAAACAAGCAAACAAGCAAATGTAAAAATAAAATAAAATATCATTCCAACATGAGGTATGATTCAACCTTCTGTATAGAAAGTACATTCTTGGCCAAGTGCAGCAGCTTAGCCTATAACCCAACACTCTGGGAGGCCAAGGCGAGAGGATTACCTGAGCCCAGGGGTTCGAGACCAGCCTGGGCAACTTGGTGAGACCTCATCGCTACAATAAATCACAAAAAACTAGATGGGTGCAGTAATGTGTGTCTGTAGTTCCAGCTACTTGGAAGGCCGAGGCGGAAGGATTGCCTGAGCCCAGCAGGTTGATGCTGTGGCAGCCATGAGTGTGCCACATGTTGCACTCCCGCCTGGGCGACAAAAGTGAGACTCCAGCTCAAAAAAAAAAAAGTACATTCTTTAAAAAGAGTTTGTTGTTTTTTTTTAAGTACATTCTCTTGATAAAATCCCAAATAAGGATTTTATTATACTTAATTTTTCTTTTTAGTCTAGTCTTCTATTTTTTTCTCATTAGATAATTTGGAACCAGACAAGGCTTACTCCCATGACTGTCTTCAAAAATCCAGTAAGAAAAAGGATAAAACCTTTCTTGATTACCAGGAACCATCTCATTTGTTTTTGTGATCTGGAGAAACTGTCCCTAAGCTGCTTCCTTGGAATACAGCCTCTGGTTGGTCCAAGCAGAGGAAACTAGAACACACTTCTCAGTGTGGACATGTTCACTGACTCAGGATCAACCCTGATCTCATGGTGAATGGGTGTCATCTTAAAATCCCAGATTGCAAAACACAGCTCCCTTCCCTACCACCACCATCTCTCTAATCTATCCTTTAGAAATGGTGACAGGTGTTTTGTTTTGTTTTTAAAAAACAGCTTTTTTTGAGATATAATCAACACATAATTTACTGCACTTATTTAAAGTGGAAATTTTAAGCCGGGCTCGGTGACTCAGCCTGTAATCCCGTGCCTTGGGAGGCTGAGGTGAGTGGATTGCCTGAGCCCGCGGGTTCGAGATCCACCTGGGCAGGCGAGACCTCATCTTTACAATAAATCAAAAATTAGCCGGGCGTGGTAGTGCACGCCTGTAGTTCCAGCTACTTGGAAGGCTGAGGTGGAAGGATCGCCAGAGTCCAGCAGGTCGAGGCTGCGTTGACCGGGAGCGGCCACTGCACTCCAGTCTGGGTGACAGAGTGAGACTCCAACTCAAAAAAAAAAAAAAAGAAAGTGGAAATTTTGATTACTTGTGACATATGTATATACCTGTGAAACCATCACTACAATGAAGATAATTAACACATCTCTCATCTCCAGGTTTCCTTGTCCCCCTCTGTAATTCATTTTTTCCCACCCCCTCAACCTCAACCCTCATCTTTGTTCCAAGGCACCAACTAATGTGTTTTATGTCATTATAGATTAGTTTCTATTTTTTAGAATTTTATATAGGTGAAAGCACCCATCATGTATCTTTTTGGGGGCTTGACTTCTTTCATGCAGCATAATTTCCTTGAGATTTATCTATGGTATTTCATGTATCAATAGTTCCTTTTAATTGTTGCATAATACTCTATTGTGTGGCTATGTCATAATTTATTTATCTATTTACCATTGATGGACATTGGATTGTTTCCAGTTTGGGGCTGTTATGAACATCTTGTATAATTCTCTGTGTGGACATAGGTTTTCATTTCTCTTGGGTAAATAGAAAAGAGTGAAATAGCTGGGTCACAAGATAGGCATACATTTAATTGTTTAAAAGACTGCCAAACTATTTTCCAAAGTGATTACATCATTTATATTCCCACCAGCAGTATATGAAAATGTCAGGTCTTCCACATCCTTGCCAACATTTGGTTTTTTTAACTTTAGCCATTCTAGTGGGTGTGTAGTGGTTTTAACTGCATTAATTTGCATTATTAACATACATTTCCCTAGTAACTAATGATGTTGACATTTATGTGCTTATTTGCCATCTGTATAACTTCTTTACCTTTTTTTTTTTTTTTAAGTAATTTTATTGGCCAGGCACAGTGGCTCAAGCCTGTAATCCTAGCACTTTGGGAGGTGGAGGTGAGAGGATTGTCTTGAGAGGGTTCAAGACCAGCCTGGGCAACTTGGTGAGACCTCATCTCTACAATAAATTAAAAAATTAGCCAGGCATGGTGGCGTGTGCCTGTAGTTCCAGCTACTTGGAAGGCTGAGGCAGAAGGATAGCCTGAGCCCAGTAGGTCAAGGCTGCGGTGGTCATAAGCATGCCACTGCATTCCAGTCTGGGTGACAGAGACTCCACTCTCCAAAAAACTGTAATTTTATTTATTTATTTATTTAGAGATGAGGTCTTGCTATGTTGCCCAGGCTGGTCTTGAACTTCCGGGTTCAAGCAATCCTCCCGCCTCAGCCTTCTAAAGTGCTGGGATTACAGGCATGAGCCACCCCACCCAGGCTGTATACCTTCTTTAATAAAGTACAGTGTGTGTTCAGATCTTTTGCTCAGTTTTATTGTTTGTTTGGGGGTTTTTTTGCTGTTGTTCCTGATCTTTTTATTATTGAGTTATAAGAGTTCTTTATAGACTCTGGATATAAGTCCTTTGTTGGATATGTATTTTACAGATTTCTTTCTCCCAGTCTGTGTCTTGCCTTGGTTCCTCTAGGCAAGAAGCCTCCCTGATCTTTAATTTTGAAGAACCTCTTTATGTCAAAATTAGAAATAAGAGAAGATGAAAATAGAGGAGGTAGCAGCATGTATAATCACTTAAGCTTAAAATTATGCATGTAGGGCCACCACCTTGATCCCCTCCTGCTCTGGGAGCTTTTCTGTCCTCTCAATAAATCCTGCTTTCTCAAAAAAAAAAAAAAAAAACCACAAAAACAAAAAACATGTATGCGAAGGAGAACTCTTTAGGTGAGGTGAGTACATGGAACTCAGGGATTTGGTAAGTCTCTGATTCTCTTCCTTCCTCCAGGCAATCATTAGCCTTCTAAGCCCAGACTAAGTCAACTATATCTTAGATATCTTCCTGTGTGGCTAAGACTTTCCACACAATGATTTTGACACAAATGGTCTTATATAACTAATAACTAAACAATACTGAAAAGACTATTTTCTCAGTTAATGAATCAGTGTTCCTCAAAGAGAGTTCTATATTATCTTAAGACATTTGATCTCCAGCTATGCAATCCATCTGACCTTAAAAAGACCAGCATGACCCCAGCAATTCCTGATTCAGATAAGTCATCCCTGCCTCTCCTTTCTTCCAGTCATAACTGTCTCCTCTTCCCTGACACTGTCCAGACAAACAAATGATTTCACTTGTCTATTCTGAGTAAAACTCTCCAGGCCTTAGGCCACTTGCTTGACTTTCCTTCTGGAGACCTCTTTTTCTTCACCTATCTCATATGAATCAACTAACTTTTGCCCAACTAAGCATGTTAGCTATAATTGTCCCAAGGTTTATCTTTGTATATTATAACATCTAGTTATTTTATCCCCAAAGGAAAGTATTTATTCATCTATTTCTTTATGATTTTTTTTGAGTCGGGGTCTCACTTTGTCGCCCAGGTTAGAGGGCAGTGGTACAATCACAGCTCACTGTAGCCTAGACCTGCTGGGCTCAGGCAATCCTTCTGCCTCAGTCTCCTGGGTAGCTAGGACTACAGGCATGTGCCACCACGCCTGGCTAAGTTTTTGATTTTTTGTAGAGACAAGGTCTCATTATGTGGCTTAGGCTGGTTTTGAACATCTGGGCTCAAGCAATCCTCCCACCTCAACCTCCCAAAATGCTGGGATTAGCTGGGCGCGGGTGCTCAAGTCTGTAATCCCAGCACTTTGGGAGACCGAGGCGAGAGGATTGTCTGAGTCCAGGAAATCATGAATGTGAAGGAGAACTCTTTAGGTGAAGTGAGTCCATGGAACTCAGAGATCTGGCCAGTCTCTGATTCTCTTCTTTCCTCCAGGCAATCATTAACCTTCGAAGCCCAGACTAAGTCAGCTATATCTTGGATATCTTCCTGTGTGGCTAAGACTTTCCACACAGTGATTTCTGACCAGGCTGGGCCACATGGCGAGACCTCGCCTCTACAATAAATCAAAAAATTAGCCAGGCGTGATGGCACGTACCTGTAGTTCTAGCTACTTGGAAGGCTGTGGTGGAAGGATCACCTGAGCCCAGCAGGTCAAGGCTGCGACGGTCATGAGCATGCCACTGTACTTCAGCCTGGACAACAAAGAGATTTCAACTAAAAAGAAAAAAAATGCTGGGATTGGAGGTGTGAGACACTGTGCCTGGCTCCTTATGATTATTTTTATGATAAGTTTTTATTTTGAAATATTTTCAAACCTACAGAAAAGTTGCAAGAATAATTTACAGAACTCTCATATCCCACTCACCCAGATTCCATAACTAACTTTTACTTCATTTGCCTTTCTCTCTCTCTCTCTTCTCTCATTCTATGTTAATATATGTATAATGGTATGTATATTCTTCATATATTACTTTCTGGAACCACCTAAAAGTAAATTGTACACACAATATCTTATTACTTCTAAATACTCATTGTATATTTCCTGAAAACAAGGCCATACCTACATAGCCACGGTTTATTCATTAAAATCAGGAAATTAATATTGATATCATTTTACCATCTAATCCATAGACCATTCACATATCATCAGTTATCCCAATAATATCCTTTATAGGTCCAGGAAACAATACAGAATCATGTGTTCTATCTCTTTAGTCTTCTTCACTCTGGAATAGTTCTTCATCTTTCCTTGTCTTTTCTGACTGACATATTTTAAGAGCACAGGCCACTTACTTTGTAGAATGCTCCTCATATAGGGTTTGTCTAATGTTTACTCATAGTGGACTTAGGTGATACATGTTTGACAGGAATCCCACAGACGTTAAGCTTTATTCTTCTCAGTGCATCATATCAGGAGGCACATACTGTTTATATTTTTACTGGTCTAATTACGTAATCTTGACTTTGATTATTGGTTAAAATAAGAACTGATAGCTTTGTCCACTGTAAAGTTAATGAACAAGCCTTTTAGAAATGCACTAATTAACCGGGCTCGGTGGCTCAGCCTGTAATCCCGCGCCTTTGGGAGGCTGAGGTGAG